TAAATTAAATAAGAACTCGCGGCTCATTCAACCTTACCCGTTCCTTGTTGCCCATTTCCCCAAGTTTATTGAATATTTTTATTTTTACCTTTTTTTCATAAAATAGCTCTTTAAAGGACTACATATGAGCTTACTGATTAAGGGTCGACAGGTCGGCCGGCCAAACTCCGAATTGATGTTGGAGACCTCGCGCGGTGACAACGCGAAACTCCGATTTTAGTGTTGCCAACGCCGAGAAACCAATTCTCGGGTTTTATGTAGTGGTGCATGTCTGTACACGTACATACACTATTGCATTGCTCACGCGGACGCACCGTAGAGAGACAAGGACCGATAATCACGTGTTCTCCTTGTTCCTCTACCGTGCCGGTATACGCGAGATGCCGCCTGAAAATGTTTTCTGGCCTTCCGTAGCAGAAGGCAGTAGCGTAGCAAGGCTAATAAGCACCCACTTTTTGGAAATTGTATATATGGTTATGCACATATGTGCGTATATATATATACAGGGTGATTCAGGAGGAAAGGTAAAGATTTTAGTGGGTGATAGTATAGGCAAATACGAACAAAAAATGTCCTATTAACATGTGTCTTATTTTTATAATTATGAATACTGCTGCTCTCATAAAAGAACGTCAAGATGACCTCAGAAGAGCTACACGTAGTACAGTCAAAAGAATTAGAAAGTGTATTGAAGTCGGAGGTGGCATTTTTGAAAATCAACTTTGAACTTAGTCATTTGCGTCTACTTTTGTTTGTGCCTTTGACTTTTTTCTGCTGTGAGTGGTTTATTGTAACCAATAAAAATAAGACACATGTTAATAGGACATTTTTTGTTCGCATTTGCCTATACTATCACCCACTAAAATCTTTACCTTTCCTCCTGAATCACCCTGTATATATATATATATATATATATATATATATATATATATATATTTATTATATAAGATATATTGATTATTCTTGATTTCTTTTTGATTATTGATGCTATTGTATAATTTGCTCCAAATACTTATAACGTGAAAGAACGTTGAGTAATGTATAATCAATGCAAGGATGTTCAGTATATCATCCAGTATATAATTAGAGTTCAAATATATCAATATCAATTTTTTTATAATATATATATATATATATATATATTAAATATAGAAAAATGATAAAAAAATATATTTCGGCGATTTAAAAATTTTTAATATATTGAAAATATTTTTACTACATACACTATATATAAGTGTAAAATAATTCAGAAAATAAATTTAAAAATAAATTTAATAAAAATCTACATACCAGCTGTGTGCATGTGTGCAATTGATTTATTACTTGAAATTGATTTACGGAATTATTTTGCATTTATATATTTATAGTATGTGTAGTTGTAAAATGATTAAAATATTTTCAATATCAAATTTTTAAGTTTATCGCCTATATAAAAAATATATTTCTATGATTTTCTATATTCCAATATATTATAAAAAAATTGATATTAATATATTTGAATTCAAGTTTTTTATGTGATTAAATAGTCTTGCATTGAGCCATCATACGTTACTCGTAAGTTCTTTCACGTCATAAGTACTTATGTAGCAGAGAGAAAGAAATGAGAGTTATACAATGTAACATCAATAATCTTATATATTATAATCTTATATATTATATATATATATATATTTCATTTATTTATAAAATACATTTTATAAATAAGTAAAATATTATACAGACAATGTACAAGATGTTCAGTTTGTGCCATAACAAGCTTCAATCAATAATTATTACTCCAATGAGTATAATTCACAATAATTTTTATATAATATAATAAGTATTTGAATATATAAAAATATTTTTAAAAATTTGTTTTAAAATTAATTGAAAAAGAATATTTAAAATATTCTTTTCCTCAATTAATCTTAAAAAAATATTTTTAAATATTTAAAAATATTTAAAAATACTATATATTATATAAAAATATAATTGTTGATTATTATATTGGATTATTAATTGAATAAAGCTAGAGCTTTTAATATGGCAGTAGCGTTTTTTTTTGTTTTTTTTTTTTAAGTGGGGGAAACCTTCAAAAGGCATCCCGGTTTTCCGGAGTAGTGTGAGATTCTTACTCACTGAAACCCCCACTATACATACGTTACCTGCTACAATATAATGGCGTTGATTCAAAGATATCCACGCCTCTTTATTGAAAGTGATCCGCCCTTCAGACTCTAAATCTCTAAATCTATCTGCAACAAACAACTCTATGATGCATAAAGATAATTAAATAAAAAAATTATTTATTATAAAATCTAAAAGAAAAACAATGTAAATTATATAATATTAAAATATTAATTACTTAAAATAATAATTACTTAAAATTATAAATAACTTATGCGTAACATATATTTTTGGACTCCTAAATAAAAAATATATTATATTATTTGCAAAAAATAAGATAAAATATTTTTTTATAAGAGTTTTAACAAGGCTCTGTAATATAAATATAAATTTAACGTATAAGACGGGCAACAAGAGCCAAATCGCGGATGACAATGCGTTATCCTAACGAAACTAAATAATTTTCCGTTAGAATTAAATACCGGTGCACAAGGCACCAAATTTTACTTGGACATGGCCAAGATTTTGAAATATGAAATAATCTCATATTTGAGATTTAATTTCAATACCCCTTTAACCCCCCTACGGAAAATAAATAAATGAATGCAAGAGAAAAATATAGATCCGAAAATCGCTGAATCGGGAATCGAACCCGAGACCTTTCGCTTGCCGGGCGACTGCTCTTCCTATTTTTCTCTTGCATTCATTTATTTATTTTCCGTAGAGGGGTTAAAGGGGTATTGAAATTAAATCTCAAATATGAGATTATTTCATATTTTAAAATCTTGGCCGTGTCCAAGTAAAATTTGGTGCCTTGGGAACCGGTATTTAATTCTAACGGAAAATTATTTAGTTTCGTTAGGATAACGCATTGTCATCCGCGATTTGGCTCTTGTTGCCCGTCTTATACGTTAAAAATATTTTTTATTCGAATAGTCTCAACTCCTCTTTTAGCTGAATGTTTAGAAGCAATGAAAAAATCGAGGATTTACGAAAAATTTAAGTACATTTCTAGGATTTTTTTATATGATATAAAAAAAATATGGTATATAAATTATCGTAGAGTTTGTAAGGTTGGGGAACGCTCCTTCAAAAGCGCCTTCAATCCCTTAGGGGACGAATAAAGAATTGAATGGTATATAAATTGATTTTTTAATTTTTTTATTAATTTTTAATTACACACACACACACACAAATAGATTCTTATTATTTAAAATAGTTTTATTTTGTTCTTTATTTACATATGCATACATATACAAAAAAATAAAAATAATATGATAGCCTTTTTGCTGACATTATCTCTCAATATTTGCATCTGTGTGCTCACGTATTAGTGTTTGTACCTACATGGACGCTACTACATATGCGATGTAAGAGAGACACAGATGGAATGATGCTCTCTTCTTGTCAAGCAGTCAGCATGTTACCACAGAAATTTTCCCTGCTCCTTATAAATCTAGTGAGAATCTTATCGTCCAGATATTTCATAAAATAAGTGACATAACTTCGTGAATTTTTTTTAATATATTCTTTATATAATAAAGCAGTCCTCTAAAAGGCCGGATATTACATTTTCGCTCTTAAAAATTTATAATAAATAAAATACGGACTCGCGGCTAACCTAACCTTACCCGTTCCTAGCTGCGCATTCCCCCAAGTTTATTAAAAATTTTTATTTTTATTTTTTTTTTTATAAAATAGCTCATTAGAGGACTACAAATGAGCTTACTGATTAAGAATATCCTAAATTTAATCCTAGATTCATTCAATATTTTGGCTAATATCTGGAAAATAAGAATCTGTAATTCCCGGCCGGCCGATAGGCGTCTCCACCATGTCGCCTGTCGACCCTTAAGAATATCCTAAATTAATGAGATTCATTTAGTATTTTGGCTAATATCTGGAAATTAAGAATCTGTAATTCCCGGCCGGCCGACAGGAGTCTCCACCAAGCCTCCTGCCGACCCTTAATACCTGTCTTTTTACATCATGATCGGAACTAAAAAAATAGCCGAGATCCCAAACTGTATTCCCTAGCTATTCCCCTTCCATATTTATAAGTTTTATGTGCTGGTGTGGTCCGCCATCTATATATACCGCTACGTCTATGGTTTGTACGCCACTGAACTAAACGCGCGTTTTCATGTGTGGTAGCAGACCACGCGATCACCTAACCTTAATAACGCATGGTAAGCGGAGCAGAGTGCGCTAGTGGTACCAGTATGTGTGTATCGCGACTTCTCATGGTGCCGTAAATATTTCCTGACATTTTTCACAAAAAACGACGGTACGTTCGATTGCGTGTAGTCCCAGACGCGTGGAAGATCGCGACTTTTGAGAACACGCGTGTTAATAATCCCGGGTGCGCGTACGTCGATATGTTCTCACGGAAATCGCCGCCGATCACTATAACTTACCGTAGCAAGTAGCAAGGCACCGAAAGAGAGAGAGAGAGAGAGAGAGAGAGAGAGAGAGGAGAGAGAGAGAGAGAGAGAGAGAGAGAGATAGAGAGAGAGAGAGGAGAGAGAGAGGCAGGAAAAATAGGAAGATCTTATCGGCAGCTAAGGACTGCTAAGAAGGATCAGTGAAGTTTTCCCCTTCGAATTCGTGTTCTAAAAAAATATATATATATATTGTATACTCCTCGTGGAAAGTAATAAAAAAAAAAATAATAATAATGGGAAAGTTTACGTCGAATTCGTCCGAGATGAATTGAAGCTCGTTTTTTCCGAATCCGCCGAATTTCTCGTAAAATCATATCAATGTTCTCTCCCGATATAGATTCCCTTCCCCGACGATTTTAGTGCGTGTATCCGATTATACGCCATTCAGTAACCGCCGTATTTCGTTTTCCACCGGTGGATGGATACGGTGTAACCCAAGAGAGGAAAGAGAGAGAGAGAGGGGGGGAGAGAGAGAGACATGCGGATGTAATGTCTAACGCTAGCATCCTTTCTTCGGAAGATTCGCAATCGTGAAGGAATCCCATAACCGCGGCTACGGCGGCACTCTTTGGCGGGGACGGTGGATGAGAGTAGAGAGTGACGGGTGGTGGTGGCAGCGGCATAAGGGGGGGGAGGTCTTCCGCCCCCTTCACGAACCAAACGCCGGTAATGAGTGTTTACACTGCAAGCACGCCGAGCAGCGCGACTTCACCGGCGATAAATACGACAGCTACGACGACGGCGACAGGAACAGAAGAGGCGACGTCGCCGACGACGGTGACAGCAACGGAGACGACGACGACGGTGACGGGGACGGCGGCGGCGGCGGCGGCGGCGGTGGCGGTGACGGTGACCGCAGCACCAGTTGCGACGACGACGACGGCGACGGCAGCGGTCACATTGTCCAGCTTCGTCGCCGCGTCGCCCGAGACGAGCGGCTGGATCGAGTTCTGCGACAGACACGCCCGCGCCTCAGCCTCCGACTTTGCTAAAGCGTTCTACGCTTACGTCAATCTAAATTTGCGCGAGAGCGCCCGCACCAATCTCTCACACCACGACTTCCTCCGAAAATTCGTCGAGAGCTTCTGCGAGCACTTCGAGAATGAATATTTGCGTCAGGGCGTGAGGTACGTGCAATTTCGTTATTGTTATTGTCATGTGATCGTGAGATTATTAATTTTTTTAATGTCGAATAATAAACATTAAAGAGTAATCCTTTATATATATACATATAAAGGATGTATACATAATATGTATACCTAATGTATGATTCTTATTTATATATCAATATTTCAATACAGTTTGAACTAAATTAATGAATATATAAATTCATCAAGTTGAATTATTATTAATTTTATTTAATAAACAAGTTAGTTCCAATATATATATAATGGAACTAACTTGTTTATTAAATAAAATTAATAATCAACTTGATGAATTATATATTTATTAATTCAGTTCAAACTGTATTACAATATTGATGTATAAATAAGAATCATACATTAGGTATACATATATTATACATACATGTATGTGTATATATATATATATATATATATATATATATATATATATATATATATACAGGGTGTCCGGTAACTAACGGACCAACGATTACAAGTGGATTCTTTGGTCAATTTAGGAACGATTTTTCCTCAGCGAAAATGTCGAAAAAGGTCATCATTTTTACAACTTTCCAATATTTGTCATTATGTATCTTTATAACTAATAAGCCTCAAATTAAAATTTTATTATAGTAAACTCTACCTGAAATTAACTGAAGAATGTAATTATGTTAGACTTTTAACTCCAAAACGTTTAGTTTCAAAAAACCCATTTTTTCAATCGCTTATAACTCGAAAATTATTGACTTGTCAACATTTTTGCTAAGGAAAAATCGTCTCCAAATTGGCCAGAGAATCCGCCCTTAATCATTGGTCCGTTAGTTACCGGATACCCTGTATATATATAATATATATATATATATATAGAGAGAGAAAAAATTAGATAAATATATTTTAATTTTAGTTTGATTTATAAATAAAATAATTTTTATTAAAAGAATACAGAAGGTCAATATCTGTTTTTGTTAATGTATAAAGATTATTGAAATTCGTCTTTTTTTAGGATTTTATTTTTCTATAAAGCAAAGTTATTTATTACAAAATATCTTTTTAAACTCAAAAGATTCTTGTACTCTATAAGATTTACTTATAGTTCATGTTTATTAATATTTCTTTGTGCAGTATATGTACATTTTTAGATAACATTTTCTTATAACACTGGATAGGACAAGGAAAATTTCCTTGGCATGGTCTCTTGATTCTCCTACTTGAATTTATTGATTTTTTTCTAGCAACACTTAATCTATTATATGACACAATATGTGTTAATGACATGATCTGCAAGCAAATACAAAAGTATTTCAACTTATTCGAACACATTTTTCAATAAATTCAAGAGTCATTTTATGTATTGATATTTTGAGCATTTTTTAAAATTTATTATAACTCGGAAAATAAAATGTTAAATGTGAAACTTATTCATCAAAATATAATTTTTGGAATAATAAATTAAATGATAAATTAGATGTGAGAAATTCTACATATTCGTTATTATAAATAATAATTATAGAAATAAAAATATGAAACATGTATGCATATATATGCAAAGATACTTTATAATAACTCATTAAAAATTATATGCTAAATAATATTATATTAAAAAGATAAATAAGAACATCGAGTTTTTTTTCATATAAAAAAAATTGTTCATAATCCTTTTTTTTCTATTATAATATATATTTAACATATACAAATTTTTTTTTAATTTATTTCTTTTTACTTTTGTGATTTGTAGTTTATCTATAATATCAATTAAGCTATACTTATTAAATTTTTATATTGAAATTATATCAGATACATTTTCTTATATTTTTCAGGTCACTGTCATTGCATGATACTAGAAGTATAGCATCCAATGAAAGAGATATAAATCTTGCAAGCCAAAATGCTACTAATGCACCAGTCCGTGCGTCGTCTCATGAAGAATTCAGCGACTATTCTGAACATGAAGGGGAGGCAGTATCACCGAAACCCGCTCACAAACCTTTCTTTCGTAGATTATCTTTTAAGGGACTTAAAAAGGGCAAGAGTTTCTTCCATAAACAACAAAGTGACGAGGTGGAATTATCCATTGAACATCGCAAGGATAAACACTCGAAAGCTAAATTGTCGAAAATCGTGGTGGAGTGTAGGAAGGAAGGAGTCGTGAATCTTATGATAATCTCGAAGGACAACATAGATGGACCTCAAAAATGGAAAAGTCACGATTAGCATTGATAAAAGCGATCGGTGGATACATGTTGGAATTTTATGTCCCGCCAAAAGCCGTAAAACCACGAAGCGGCGTCTTTTGTTCGGCGATAACGGAAATAAGGGAGACCACGGCGCTCGAAACGCCAGATCGCGAAAACTCGTTCGTTCTGAAGACCTCGAACAAGGAATTCATCGTGGAAACAAGTGACCCGAACGATTTGAAATCATGGCTGGCAACGATCAGGTATTGCATGCGAACGGTGCAACAGAGTTCCAGCGCGCCTGGTTCTGGACCGGGCGATTTCTTAGATTCTCTCGGTCACGGTTCATTGACTATCGGTTCTAATAGCGATCGATTACGAGCCAATTCGGCGAGTAAGACCTTTCGATCCGCTAGTCATGAACACAGCGATGACTTGCAGGGTAATCCACCAGAATTACCTCCAAGAGGCCGTGATATACGTAGTAGCAGTAACCTAGAATTACGTTCCTCTCAAGAAATCGAACAAGGTAAGAAATAAGTTCGAGCGCGAATTATAAGAGAGATACTAATGAGATTCAATCAGATTATATATATTCTACATAATTATATATATTTATTTGCTTGCAGTGTCTAATGCTGTATCTAATGAAGACGAGGCAGATTTATCGATTAATTTACGACAATACCCATGGTTTCATGGCACTCTTCCTCGTTCTGATGCTGCGCAACTTGTATTGCATAACGCAGGTCATGGCCATGGTATATTTCTGGTTCGACAAAGTGAAACTAGAAAAGGCGAATATGTATTAACTTTCAATTTTCAAGGAAGAGCAAAAGTAATTACAGTTATTATTTCTTAAGACTTCTGGCTCCTTGCCGATCATGTTAGATTGTGACGTCAGAGACAAGAAAGCTAAAAATTCTTAGATGCCATTTTTAAAAAGCAAATGATATACTATTCTTTTCCCTTGACAATCAATCAACAACTAATAATTATATCAGATTTTGTCATGCGGAATGACATGTGCAAAGATTAGATCGACTAGCTCTCATATTACAGTCACTTTACAGTTGTTGATTGATTATAAAGGGAAAAAGGATAGTTTTCGCGGTATTTAAGAGTATGCTAAAGCCGTCTAAAGTGCTGTTTTATCGAAATATCTTTTTATTTCGAAATGATATCTAATTGTAAGAACTTTTAGCGTGTTTTCTCGCCTCTGATGTCACAATTTCAACATCAATCAATGAGGAGCCAGAAGCCTTAATGCTTTTTTCCAAATGAATAATATTTTTTTATTACACACATCATCATTCTCGTTATAGCATTTACGGATGACGCTGAATGATCAAGGTCATTGTCGTGTCCAACATCTGTGCTTTCCTACGATACATGATATGATAGAACACTTTCGTCAGAACCCGATACCTCTCGAATCCGGTGGGACTGCGGATGTTACTTTAACGGAATTTGTAATAATAGCAAACCATACATCGCGATCGGGGCATCATCAGGCGGGTGGCTCGAATGTGCAACAGTCGCAAGAAAGGAGACCTCCGGCAGCTTTGGAGCCTAGAGAAGTAAGAGTTTGCAGTGGAAGTCTAACTCCTCTTGTGTGAGCGCGAGTGGCCAACACCCACAGTCTGAAGTCTAATCTACAGACAGTGAGTAGATAACCAACTAAAGCGCCCATGTTTATCGTATGGTCGATGATACAAGACATGATTTGATCGGTGTCTCTGCATTTCTGTAAACTTGCTGTAAATTTCATGGAAATTGTGTAGATTGATATACAAAGTTAAATTATGGAATGCATCTTATTTATGTACTCTTCTTCTTGACGAGCCACAATATATTTGTTATAATTTATTTAATATAATATGTTCAAAAAAAAGGTTTAAAAAAGAAATTATACGATATATTATTCAAATTCCTTATGTGTTCATAATTTTTTCTAATTTCCTTACATTCGAGAGATATGTAATGTTTACAATATACAATTACACTTTTTATTTATGTATTATTTTATAAATGTTTTTTTGTAAATTTGTATATCATTCGCCTAAATATATAAAATTATCATCGTGTGATAAAATTCTTGTCAAGAGTTTCAAATAACGTAAATGTGTAAAATGTATCATTAAAGAAAAAAAAGAAAATATGACCGTGGGACAAGGAACTCGCTTTTATATATAAAAGCTTTGTCTTGAAATTTCTGGTTTTATTATATTACAAAAGATTTATGTATTTCAATTTTTTGTATCGTAAGCAATTATAGGAACGTCCAGAAATTGTTATATATTGAAATTACAATATTACAATAATTTAAAAATAAAATCACATAATTTATAATTTCTCTACATTTGAAATTTATAAAAACAGTTAATCTGTTAAATTAACATATTAATAATGATATTAATATAACAGATATTTTATGTATATATACATATTCTGGACAAAAGAGATCCTATTTGCTTATATCTTCTTACAGGATGTAAAAAAAACTTCAGTCAATATTTCCAATAATAAATCTATAAAATACAAAGTATTGTTATTAATGTAGGATATACTTTTCAAATAATGGCAAATTTAATTAAATATTCAAAATGTTTATTTTTTCGTACTATACTTTTATTCGCTGAAATATTGACATGCATCTTTCTAACATTTTATGTATATATTTTACATTACTTACAAACCCAGAAACTTTAAGAGAAACTTTTGATAAGATAATAAGATTAAGAATATGTGGGAACTTATGAGATATTAATAAAATAGGTACGCACCTATGGTGGTTCTATAAGAACGCGCGTGGAATCGTTGGAGAGACTAGAGCAACAGAACACTATTGCGGAGCAACAGGGCTCGGCTTCGTCCACTGGCAGAGCAGTTCAGAACACTTACAGTTTTCTCTGACGTTGGATTCATGCTAATCCACCATCAGGCTACAATCCAGTTAGTCCGACAGACTGAACATAAATAATAATATGATGAAGTAACTGCGAAGTTTTTTCATTTCTAGAATTGCGTCATGCCATAAAACAACTGTTTGAGACAAAGCGCATCATTCTATTAGTACAAAACAACTGCATTTCTTTCTTGGAATGTCTTATATCTTCCAAATTGTAGATTGTGTATGCGTGTAGCATTTGACATTATACAACTTTTATAATTTATTAGCAACAATCTATTTGCATTGCATTTACATCGAAAAATAATAAGAAATAGAATAGACTGCGGAGAACAAAATGAGTCTCAGCAATAATCATTTCATAATATTGTACACAAATTTACCTTCGAGTTACTTTTTTTCCCTAGTAATATTGCAGTATATTTTCCACAGAGCTCCCTTTCGCATGTTCGCGTTTAGCTATGATTTGTCTTCTTGTCAAGATTGAACAGTTTCCTCATATATTTTTGAAGAGAGAGAAGGGATATATTTTAACGAGGAGACTAGAATCTCGTTAACTATACGTTACGTCGCTAACTATAATAATTTATGGTATATGTACTTACATAAAATTACGCTTAAAAGAGAACGTACACAGTTTAGTAAGGAATGGTAATTCTCTGAAATTGCGAACTATGAACTGCCATACAATCCGCATTCAAGTCCAGCATCCCAAAGACTTAACAAAAGTTATGCCAAAACTAAAAATTAATACTTATTAAATCCTGCTTAATTACAATTACAATTTATTATGCAAAATTGTATTTTAGCCACATTGTCATTGATCCTGATGCTTTGTAGGGCGTTAAGTATAATAGACATGCCCTTTAATCCATCAAGATGAACATAAAATATTACTTATTATTATTCCAGTGCATATAAATTTCCCCATTTGTCGAACGAATAAAAAAAAAGGGAAAAGAGAGAAGCTATATTATCATCCTGGATAAATCGAAAGGGAAAAGTATTTCGAGCTACAGTAAGTATGGTTCCATGTATTCCTGCAGAAATAGCAGCATTATATTCGATAAACGTATCAAGAAATGTATTAACGCGAAATGTGTATTAATGATTAAGAAATTATTACTGATACTGTAGAGCAATATGACTGAGTGTGTGTAAAATTAGATTATAGATAAATGTATGAATGAGTGATACATGTACGATAGAGAGCAATGATTGACAGAGTATCTGATTTGTTAAAACGTGCAAAACAGATATTCTCAATACGAGCCGAACTGATTACTGTGATAAGATCTTTATTTGCACAGGCGTCTAATAATCCCGTTGCCGTCCGCATACCAGTCTTATCCATGAAAATCACTACAGAAATAACAGGGAAAAAATTATCACACGTGTACATTTCAATCGCTTGTTTGCCATCGTATAAATAGAATTTCTCCATCGCAATACTAAATGAAAAAAAAAGGAAGAGAGAAAAAATTGTACGAAAATTATAGTTGATCTGACAAAAATCTATATCACAAATTTATTCTTTAGTCAAAATGCTCGCAAGATCATGCTGTAAGTAGAATGTAAGCTTGTTCTTTGTATATTTAAAACGCAGTTGAAACGACAGTCCTGAGATATTACAGAGTCTGACAACTAGGCATTCAATAAAAATACTTTTTTACCTTATGTTAAGATACAGAGATGAAAATAAAAATACTGAATTCCCTGAGAATTTCGTAATTGTCTAATATTTTAACTCTTTACAGGTATATAATTGCAAGACGTTACATTTTTTATATCACAATTATTAAAATAAATTATTATAAATATTAATATCGTACAAATAAAGAATATTTATAAATATTTTCAAAAAATCTTTTCACAAATGTTTAATTTAAAATTGAAAAATTTTTAAAAATATTGCAACCTATGAAGGAGCAACCTGCAAATAAAACAACACAAGTACATATGTGAAGAGAAATTTAATTAAATTTAATATTTAAATATTAATACTTAAATATAAATTTACATAATCTTTTTTTAAATTTGATTTTGACGATTTCCAGATTTACCGTATCACACGTTAATAGGAGATTCCTAAGGTAATTTGGAGACGATTTTTCCTCAGCGAAAATGTCCAGGCACCAATAATTTTCGAGTTATAAACGATTAAAAATAAAAGCTTTTTTGTAAACTAAGCCTTGTAAAAATAAATTATTAACAAAACTACATTTTTTAGTTAATTTCAGGTAAAATTTACTTTAATAAAATTTTAATTTAAGGCTTAGTTACAAAGATACATGATTTCAAAAATTAGGAACATAAAAAAATGATGACCTTTCTCGACATTTTCGCTGAGGAAAAATCGCCTCAGGAATCTCCCATTAACGTGTGATACGGTAATTCTGGGACACCCTGTATAGTATATTATGTATATACATAACTGGTTTTATATAATGGAGTATATTATGTGTATATACATATATATATAACTGGTTTTATATAATGGACAAGCTGGAACAAATAACATAAACTTATAATATGGGCGTTTCTGTAAACGAAAAATATTAATAAATCGTTAACAAATCTTGGAAATGTAATTTTAACGTTTGAAGAATGAAGAAATTGTCAAGATTACAGACACAAAAAATATGGAAATGTAATTTTAGACAGTTTCTTCTTTCTTCAAAAGGTTCAGGTCTAGCTAAATCAATTAAATTCAAATTTTCTATAGATATACTTCTTTTTTTGTACTATGTGTGCCAATCAATCATATACTTGTTACTGAATGTGATCTGGATGATCTAAAGAGTAAATTACTCATAAATGAATGTTACATTTTCTAATATTATATTTTACCTGAGAGAAGCTAAAAATGCTATTTGTGCTTTGTAGCTTTTTGTTGCAAAACACAAAGCACGAAATGACGTTTTTAGCTTCTCTCTTAGGTAAAAATATAATTAGGAAATGTAACATTTATTTATGAGTAATTTACTCTTTAGATCATCCAGATCACATTTAGTAACAAGAATACAATTAATTGGCACACATAGTAATTTTAAATTTTAATTTTTTTAATTAAAATTTTAAATTTCAATTATTGATATTAATTATTAAATAGAATATTTAATTATGAATATAATTTAATTATAATATAATATACGTGCATGTGTGTTAAATATTGATATCTTTTTAAATAGAATTTGAAATTAATAATTTTGTGAAATATATTGTAAAATATGCAAAGATCACATTAAAGTTTTTCTTTTTGCTAAAATATTAAGCATCATTTAATATAAATATATATATATATATATATATAAATGCAGAGTTGAGAAGTAACGCGTTACTTGTAACATCGTTACCGTTACCGTTTTTTTTGGGGTAACGATCGTTACTTTTTTCTATCTGTAATGGTAACGGTAACGTCGTTATATTTTTACAGTAACGGTAACGAATTAGCCATTACTTTTATCGTTACTTTTTAGTTCTCTCTGAGTTAATATTAAATTAATATAATAAATAATATGGTTACACGCAATAAATGCAATGTTTAATATAAAAAAACCCGCTTCCTATATAGAGACAAATTCAAGGTTTTTAATTGTGACATATAGATATAATTATATTTAATATAGATTATTAAATAATATAATTATACATTTTAATATAATAATAGGCTCTAGCATTACAAACACTGAAAAAGTAACGAATCGTTACTTTTTGAGTAACCGTGACAGTAACGCGTTACTTTTTAAAATCAGTAGCGAGTACCGATAACATTACTTTTTACAAAAAGTAACGGTAACGCGTTACTTTTATAGAATAACGGTTGCAACTCTGTATAAATGCAACATTATAAAATGCATTACAAATTGAAGAACTATAATCTATAATATATATTATATATGATGTAAGCTATATATAGAAGGTATTTTATTATATAAGAAATATTATATGTCTTAAACTGTTTTTGTACTTTTGTATACAAATCAATGAATAATTAAAGTATAATTTTTTTTTAAATAGAAAAATAACAAAACCACATGTTTGGCATATTAGTAGCACCATAATCGCATTTGGATAGATCCTTATTTTTGTGTCCCTAAAAATTTACATGTTTTTCCAGTCTTCTTGAGTGTCTCCAAAATCTCATCTGAACCAAATGTAGTAGTCACAGTTACCTTTTTCTCTGGTAAATCTATCTTTATGTAATCGATACCTAAACATATATATAAATATATAGGAATGATACTAATATTATAGCTTATATGTCCAAGATATATATTTTAAATCTAAATATATATATATATATATATATATATATATATATATATATATATATATATATACATACTAATTTATATGTCCAAGATATATATTTTAAATCTAAGCTGTAATATTAGTAACATTCCTTTTTTAGTAAAATTATTTTTACATTTGAATATTTCTATTTTCTTACACAGCATACACAGTAGCATATTTAACCTAATTTCATCTTCTACATTTAATAAATTTATGAAAATAATAACTTTAGAAAATATTTACGAAATATCACACGCGGTATAAAAATATTGTTACATTTGTAAAGTTGATTGCAAACATTTTTATATACGTACCTCCTTTTTTCTTAAGCACATTATGTACAGCATTCGAGCATCCTTCACATGTCATTTCTACGCTGAATTCGTGTACCTTAATAGATCACTTGTTAAATATTCCATTTGTTTAAATTTTTCTGAAAAATCATGTTATTTTATTGTTACCTGAGCTGTCATAATGAAAATAATACAGTTTAACGTGGCAAATGAGCTATGTGTAACTTAGCAGGTGAATAAGAATAAAGTAACAGAGAACAAAGGTCGTATCTAAAGCATAGAACCAAAAAGACTAAAGAACAGAAGATCGAACTTGTTAGAATTTCAGTGGTGGGGGTGAGTCAAAATATGATGGTCTCATTTTAGGCCGGATCTACAACAGGTGTAGTAAGCTCTAAGCTTTAAGAAATTCACCAATCACAGTCAAGAATGTGTGACGTCCTGCCATTGGTCGAAACCCTAATTTTTTCGCGCTAACATCATTTCTTGCGAGAACCTATATAATTAACTATTTTGAAAATGATTTAACTTAGAATTAGACGTTTTTACCATTTATCGTTAGTAATACTGGCATAGGGAATCTTCTAGTTGTAACTAGTCTAGAGACTAGCAACGCGACCAATCCAACACAACAAGCGCATACCTATAAATTACTAGTCGTCGCCATCTCTTACAACCCTAACGGTATGAACGATAAATGCGAAATATAATCAATGTGTGCAAATCTACAATATTAATCAATGTGTAAACCCTATAATCAACATGTTTGAAATTGAGTAATCTTATTTATGGAATAGTTAAAATGATGAATCGTCTGAGTAAATATCTTAATCACACAATAGTGAATGAATTATAAAAATTGATAAATTCTTTTGGTAATTGTTACGCGTGTCGCGATGAATTTGGAGGAACGATACGAGGCGGGAATTTAATAATGATGTGAGAGAGAGTATTTGCAGATATCACTAATATATTTCTCAAATGCACACGTTAAAATTCGATACAGGAATATATAAAGAAAGACCGTGCGGATATAGTGTGACTGTACGCGGCGACTGTCGGTAGCGAACTCCCTTTCGCATGTAAAAATATTCTACTTCTCGTTCGCCTCAAAACGCCCTTCGATCGGCTTCGAGAGGCTTCGCGAACTTTCTCTATGTTTAATTTCTTTGTCTCTAACGTCACGATGTTTTTCGTCTTTCGTCTCGTCTGTTATATTTATTTCTATTTATGTTTATTTGTCTCTCTATCCTTTTCGTATGCGTGAGTGTCCGTATTCGTATACGTGTTTCTCTTGCTAATATTTTTGGGGAAGCATGTGACGATATAATCGCCACAGTACTCCCCCGCCAGTGCTATACCGATAGCACGATATCGTTTGAACACTGCGCGTTCCTGCAATAGTTTTCCCGATGGCAGACCGAGACGAATTACAATTTTCCGCCGTTACATGATACGTTTGAAGCATATAAAACCAAATACTATGACATAATGATATGCTGTACTCTACATACAAAAAAATATCTCAATTTATTTATCGTTGCGCTAACGCCCGTCGTTCTCGGTCTGAGATTCGTCAATTTACTTTTACAAAATAAAAAAAAAATAAAAACAGAATATCTATACACATTTCCGGTACGCGCCGCATTCGTTTTCTTTCGTTTCGCGACTTCTGTCAATGTTACTATGTATAAAATTTTATCGCAAACAACCGTCAAAATTTAACAAAACCGCGAACCGTATATTTACTCCTTTTTTTTTACATATATATACATATGCGCGGCGATTCCTCACGACTTCGCGATCTGCGTCCAGGTTCCTCGGTGCTACAGTCCCGCCTGGAACCGACTCGGGAATCGGACTCTCCTTCCCGTTCGTGTCGTCCTTTCGCTCACTCGGGGCAGCGGCCTCGCGTCCTCTCGCGCGCCTCGCCGCTCGACCTCGGTGTCCTGGTCTCGCGCTGTTCGTCCGTCGACCGCACCCTCTCGGCTCCGTGTCGCCGACCCTGCTGAGCTGCTGTTTTCTGCTTCGGGCTGTAAAATATAAGCAGGCTTAATGCGGTCTATAGAGACCGTTTTTTTCTTGCCGTGCATTCGCACGACAAAGATCTTTTCGCTGCGGCTGATCACTGCGAATGGTCCCTCGTACGGCGCCTGTAGCATCGTCCTCGGCCCGTCGTGTCGAACGAATACGTGCTCGGCCGTCGCCAGGTCTTTGTATATGAATGGTCGTCGTTCGCCGTGTCGGGTCCCATCCACAGGTCGCAGCTTCTCGAATTGCTCTCGCAGATTTCCGACAAAATCGGCGGCGTCGTCCTCGTCCTCCGTCGGTCGCCGATTCAGGAACTGCCCCGGAATCCTCAACGTTTGGCCGTATACCATATCGGCCGCGGTCGCTCGCAGGTCATCCTTCCAGGCTGCTCGGATCCCGAGCAACACCGTCGGCAGCACCTCGGTCCAGCGGTCGTTCTGCTGGCATTTGATCGCTGCTTTTAGTTGTCGGTGAAACCGTTCGACCATCCCGTTCGCCTGCGGATGGTACGCCGTCGTCCTTAGGTGGCGCGCTCCCGTAAGCTCGCTCAACCGCCGGAAAAGCCTGGACTCGAATTGACGGCCCTGGTCCGTCGTGATCCGTAGAGGTGCTCCAAATCTGCATATCCACCCTTCGTAGAAGGCTCTCGCAACCGTCTCTGCCTCCTGGTCTCGCAACGGGAACGCCTCCGGCCATCGTGTGAAGCGATCCACACACGTCAGGCAATATCGTTTGCCCTCCGAGACTGGCATTAGGATGATATCCAGGTGAATATGTTCGAATCTGCTGGATGGCGCAGCAATTGTTCCGAGCGGTGCTGACACGTGTCGTGATACCTTTGATTGTTGGCAGGGCACACATGTTCGAGCCCAGACCCGGCAGTCGGCGTTCATAGACGGCCAAACGTAGCGCTGTGCCACGAGCTTGCCCGTCGTCTTAATACCCGGGTGCGCCAAATTGTGTATCAGATCAAATGCGGCCCGGCGAAAAGGCCTTGTCAAAAACGGTCGTGGTATCGTTGTTGTCGTGTCGCAATAAATTTTTCTCCCGGTTCCGGGAATCTCTATCCTGTTGAGTTTCAGGCCGGACTCTCGCCGCAAGTATTTCTCAATCTCCTCGTCCTTCTCCTGCGATTCCGCCAACGCGGCGTAATCCAGGGGAGAGTTGAGCTCTTCTATCCTCGATAGCGCGTCGGCCACGACGTTTTCTACGCCCGCCACGTGTCGAATGTCGGTGGTGAACTGTCCGATATAATCTAAATAGCGGAATTGTCGCGGCGTGCTCTTCTCAGGCTTCTGGCGGAATGCGTATATTATCGGTTTATGGTCCGTGTATATTGCGAACGTGCGGGCTTCCACCATGTGCCGAAAGTTCTTCACCGCCAGGTAAATTGCTAGTAGTTCTCGGTCGAATGCGCTGTATTTCGTTTCGGCTGGGCTTAGCCTTTTCGAGAAAAACGCTAAGGGTTCCCAGCCGTCACTGCCTCGTTGTTGTAATGACGCGCCGATGCTTTGTTCGGACGCGTCGGTAAACAATGCGAGCTCCGCGTTTGCCCTGGGGTGTCTCAGAAGGGCGGCCTCGGCTAAATTGGTCTTCGATGCCTCGAATGCTTGTTGAGCCCGCGCCGTCCACGATATTGTCGCCTTTCCTTTGATATTTCCCTGCAGAAGGTCGCTCAGGGGCGTCAATATTTCGGCGGCCTTGGGCATGAACCTCCTATAGAAGTTTACCATGCCCAAGTATCTTCGGAGTTCTTTCGCCGTCCTCGGCGACTGCATCGTCAGTATCGCCTCCACTCGCGTCGGCAGCGGGCGAGTTCCTCCTTCGGACACCTCGTATCCGAGGAATTCCACGCTGCTCTGGCCGAATTTGCACTTCGCGGGGTTGATGATAACCCCGTATTCTCGTAGACGCTCGAATAACATCCGCAGATGTTCGCGATGTTCTTCCTCCGAGGATGACGCGACGAGGATGTCATCAATGTACGCGTAGGAGAAATCAAAATCGCGCAGAACTTCATCTATGAAGCGCTGAAAGGTTTGCGCTGCGTTACGTAAGCCGAACGACATGTACGGGAATTCGTACATGCCGAACGGCGTGGTTATTGCCGTCTTCGGCACGTCCTTTTCTGCCACCGGTATCTGGTGATACGCGCGTACCAAGTCTAACGTTGTAAAAATTGTCTTTCCGGCGAGAGCCTGCGCGAAATCTTGTATATGTCGCACCGGGTAGCGATCCGGGATCGTTCGCGCATTTAATGCCCTGTAGTCGCCGCAGGGTCGCCATTCTTCTCCTTTCTTCGGCACCATGTGCAGAGGAGCCGACCAGCAACTATTCGACGGTCTCGCGACCCCGGCTTCCACCATTTTCCGAAATTCACGTTTTGCCGCCGCCAATCGGTCCGGAGCGAGTCTCCGCGGTCTGCACGCGACGGGCGGTCCCGGTGTCGTCTCTATGTAGTGCCGCGTGGCGTGGATCGCGCCTCCCGGACGCCCGTCTGGCCTCGCGATATCTGCGTACTGCTCCAGTAATCGGTGGTATGGAGTCTCTCCCGTAATTGTCTTTACGCTGGGTGCATCACACTGGATGCAACGTCCACGCGCGGTTAGACTAGTTACTTGGTCGATGAGACGCGACCCGCGTAGGTCCACCAGGAGTCCGTAGTGCGCCAGAAAATCGGCGCCGATTATCGGTCTCGAGACGTCCGCGACCACGAACCGCCACGAAAATGCCCGTCGTAATCCGAAATTCAATTGCAGTGTCTCTGTTCCGTACGTCAAAATCGTTGTGCCGTTGGCGGCCGAAACTCGTAGGTCGATCTCTGTCGTGGCCCTCGAACCATCTTTCGAGGGAACACGCAGAGATCCGCGCCCGTGTCAATTAAAAAATCGTTTTAGTGTTTGTGTCCGTCACGAATAAGCGGCGCGCACTATGTTCCGGGTCGCTTGCCGCCTCTAACGTCCCGTTCCTGCGTTTCCCGGCTGCATCGAGCAGGGTGGTCTGCACTGCCGTGCCTCCGCTCCAAACTGCCAATGATACCAGCATACGCCGCTGGCCGGTGGACCACGGCTGCTGGATCGCGCTCGCGGGCGTGAACGTAAACGCGAACGAGGTCGCGAACGACGTCGATCATCGTCGCGATATCGGTCATCACCCATGGATTCTATCGACTTACGTATGGCCGTTAGTTGTTCTGCCATCTCTTGCTGCATCGCAGCCGCATTTGCGCCAGGCGCACCTCGAATTTCGCCTCCAGAGACGCGGGATCAC